GGAAGAAATTCATGTTGATTTGAGGCGATTACAGCGCCAAATAAGAGTAAAAAGATTGGTGTATAAATAGCTACAAGCCGAAGACACTTTTAACATAAAACTGACCTGAAGCTCAATAAAATTAATTTCTAAATATTTATGGAAAATTGCTTACCAAAGCTCTCAGGTTCACTTTCAAATTAGATTCTTGTGAAATATGATTGGTTGGGCGGTCTGGGCGAAGCCAAACAACGTGCATATATACGTACCTATACGTTTAATATAAAAATGCACAAAGAAGCTTGAAGCATATGTACTACATATGTATGTATAGGGCTCATTTCAGTTTCCTACTACTGCCAGTTTCTAAAAGTAAATATTTCTATAAACTTCTAATAAAAATTGTTTGGCCAACTTTTAAGTACTCTAAAGAGTACTTATAACGATACGCTTATGTACATATTTCCATCAGCCTTACACTGCATGCAACCCTAACCTATAGGCCCTAAAATGATGAAAAATTTCAAAACGATACCGCAGCAAACAATCGAATGTATACGTCTACTGCATGTGCAATACATACATATTGTGGCGCACCGAAATGTTGCAACCGAAGCAGAAAATGTGAAAAAGTCAAATTTTATCGCATGATCCATAAAACTCACACCAATATGATGAAAGAAAAATTTACGGTTTTGTAACATACATACATATTTATGTATGTAAAAGCTGGAACAATTTCCAGGTTAAAACCAGGTAAAAATCACAAAACAGTTGGAAAAAGAATGGGTACCATAATGAAAATCTAAACTAGCATAATTCAGCGTAAGCCGAAACACTCAAATAGATATGTATGCAAGCATATCGCTAGCTTAGAAAGAAAAGTTGCTAAGTCCCATTTTAAAAATTTTACAGGAGAGGAAAAAATCTTCCTATAGCCATTTGCTTTAACTATTTCGCAAGACTTTGAATCAAACATTTTGCGCGTTTAAAGCAAAGCAAAACTCCATAAAAAACCAGAAGGATTCGATATTTATTAAAGGATGTCGTATTATTTTGGCCTTATCGGATTTGTGGTGCTTCTTTTGGACTTAGCAAATTTTCCTTTTATTGCTTATGAAGAGGAAAAAATAAAATAAGTACCTTTATAATTTTCGAAACGATGCATAATCAATTTCTCTGGCCTCTTATATCAAAATATGAGTTTTCATAAAAAGTGGACTTAGCAACTTTTCATTCTAAGCTAGCGATATGTGAAATGAGCTTATGTGTAAATACGTATGTGAGTAAGCAGCAGCGGATGCAAACTATTCCCATTGTTGCAAAATTTTATGGCAAAAAAATTGTTTTAATAAAACTAAATCAAGACGGAGCCAGAAGTATTTCTGTTAATATTTGTACATACATACAGTGCCTCACATAGTGATAAGGTCACCCTGTATTGATATGTTTCGACTACTTACTTTATTTTTCAAATAAATTGTCATTCGTTTTTTATACAAAAAACATATGCATATTTCCAAGTTTCAAACCTCGTACAGAAATTTAAAAAAATCTACAAAGTGTCAACGAAATGTCTCACTATTTATTGAGATTTTTAGTAAATG